TTTTAGGAACCAGCACAAAGAAGTGGCAATAGGTCAAGGGGCACACCTATCACAAAGACAATGAAGATCGATAGACAAACAATGAGATCTTATATGATCACAAAACTTCTACCAGCTATAAAAGCTAGTTGGCCTCGAGAAGATGCCCACGAGGCAATTTGGATACAACAGGACAATGCTCCTTCTCATGTACACACCGATGATGTAGAGTTTGCTGCAGCAGTTGCCAATACCGACCTTGATATACGCCTAATGAACCAACCTGCTAATTCACCTGACATGAATTTCCTAAACCTTGGTGTAACACCACCCTAAATCATTTACTAAAACATGTCATGAGCATCATGTTTATGTGATAATGCATGTGACGGAGTGTGTAGATCAATTTCTTGTAACCTAAAATGACAAATAAAAATGTTAAACGAAAGTTGATTCAATAGCTCATGTATATCAAGTAGGGCTTAAAACTAATTTTTATTGAACAAAAATTCTACATAACATATATGTGGCGCTTAAATAAAGATTGGAATATGAACTTTGTAGATGACAATGAAATACTTGCTGTAGAAAAATAACATTGCTAGCCAACATTTCTAATAGCCTAGAAATGCAAATTGGAATTAAGTTTAGGTCAAAAGACTTAGAATATTTTCAAGTATGTTGACAGTTAGACAATGCCATATTTGGCAATTTATTTTGTGAAATCGGGTTAGGAAAAGGTGTCATATGTTAGCTTGGTTTGGTAGCCTCATATGCCATCTTGAGCATGGTGAAGATGGTTAAGGTCCACAAGCAACCGTGTAGTTTTTATAGGCGCTTTAAAATTCATGCACAACATGGTCTCGGGCTGGTTGGCCACGTGGACGCAGTCACCACGCTCGGGCGCTCGGCGTCGCCACGCTAGTTGTCCTGCACGCACACACTGCTGTGCGTGGCCGGCCACGGTTGCTCTAGCTTTGGTGTGGATCGCCGCCGCCGCTCTCGGCGCCTGAAGCTGCTTTGCTTGCTTGCAGCCACCGGTGATCTTCTGCCGCCCCCGTAGCGCTATCGCACTACCGACCCGCCCCAGCGCCGATGATGCGCTGCTGCTGTGCCGCCGCCGTCGCCGTCGCGCCCTCTCATGTCTGTGCCTCCCTCTACATCTTTGCGCCGCTGCCGCGCGCATATGGCCAGGCTCGCCGTCGCCTTGTCATTGATGGCACTGCGGCGCGCGGGCCATGCCGGTCGCGAACGTGTGCGCCTGTCTGCTAGCTCCTGGACATGGGTCTCCATGGTCGCGCCAACCACGTCCAGCCAAGGCGCGCACCCGCCGAGCCACCGGCCGTACCCCACCGCTCTCTCTCTCTATTTCTCATCTCTGTGCCGCCGTCGAGCCGTGCCCACGTGCGAGCCAGAGAGCAGTCACGTCTACTCAATTCCGCCCGTCTGCTCCTTCGTCCTCTCTTATTCTCGCCGTCCGACCCCGCATAGCCATGATGACGCCCCGGCCAAGCGCCAATTTGGCTCCTTTCCACCGGCGTGCCATTAAGGCTGCGTCCAGCCGTGGACGAGGGCAGCCCTCCTACCGTCCCTCCCAAGCCAATTCACTTGCACCACTACCTTCGCCTTGCCTCCCTCTCCACCTTGCGCACATCAGCGAAACCGCTACCACCTCCCCGTTGTTGCTGACGCGACCGTGCCACCATGGTGCGCCGCCGCATGGCTCAGCCATACGTGGTCAGCCCTCCTCCATCATCCTCTATCCCAACCGTCACCTCGGCATGGTCCATGGTAGCCTCCTGATGCTCACGCGCTAACCAATTAGGCCTGTAACTACCCCACCGGAACAGTGGCGCCGCCATCGTGGATGGCCGTGCGCCGCTGCAGCCGTCCCTAGCTAGTCGTGTCACCCTGCACCGCCGCTTAGCGTAGCCGCTCGGGTCAGAGATGGTGACCAGCCCATTAGGTGGTCTATCGCAGGTCCTTGGTGGACGGCGCAGACCATCTTTGTGTCACGTCGCCACCGTCTTTGCCGTCTTACTGGGTCGCCGGGGGGTGTCGTGGGGAATTCCAGGAAAGCCAGGGGGTTAAGTGAGAAGGTTTGAGAGAGGGGGGAAATAGTGTTAGCACTTAGTTGTAATTCGGGAGAAGTTTGAGGTCTCTTTTGCTAAATCGCCAGCATGTGCGGGCTTTCCCCGGCGCAGGCCGTCTCCGCGTGGGAGAATTTGTTTTTGTTTTTCATAAGGAATTAGAAATAGTTTTCTAATTTAATTTCTGAGCTAACCTTTGGCAATTAATATAAAATTGTGTAGGTGTCCAAAAATTGTGAAACAAATTTTGTTATGTTCCTAAAATTGTGCTCTATCTGTTAGTGTATTTAGTTCATATATATACATGTTGATACTAGGAGCTATTAAATCATTTGAGAGTGCTCAGTATTATTAGGTTAAATATTGTAGGAATTTTTGTAGTAAATTGGTGATAGCTTTAGTCCTGAAATTTTTATGCTAGCTTCATTGTATTATTATGTGCTCACTTTAATTTTTGTAGCCTTAGAATAGACTAAGCATTAGGGTAGTTAAATGATCTTTCCTTCAATGTACATTAAATCACTAGTACCAATAAAGATACATCCTTAATTTGCCGAGCTAAGGGTTTGTTAGTTGAATTCAACACCTTGCTTGATGAAGATGATTGTTAGCTTAGTACCTTAGTCATTAGAGCTAGCTTAGTAGCTTAGTATGCTATTCTTAGTTTAAGAGTTGTTGTTGCCTAAATGCTAAGTGTTGCATCATCATCGCATGCATGTAGAGAACGAGTTAGCGGAGATCATGACCACCGGTGATCACGAGTTCGAGGAGATCGTCGAGGAGTACGAGGAGGAGATTCTCGTGTAGGAGGAGGTCCCGGAGCTGCCACTGACTGACTCAGCTAACACCGCGCCAGCCCAAGGCAAGCCTCGGTGCATAACCCTTATTTTTTATAATCACTGACTATATATATGTGATGTGCATTTATGTTATAGGAATTTTATGAAAACCACATGCATAGATATATCTGTTCTATGAGTATTACTAGTGCAGGTTCGAGTAGATGCTATGCTTAGGTTTTCGGTAGCGTGAGTAACCTGCCGTTACTCACAATAAGTGATTATTATATTTACTCTCATGATAAAATGATGAAAGGAAAAATGGAGATAGGGTAGGGAAATGGTATGGGTATTGGTGGGTGTAACAGGTTGTGTCCCGCGGTCAACCGGGCTTAGCTTGGTTACATTGTTTTCCCTGTACATGTCGATTAAGGACCGTCCATTGTTGTGGATGGTAGTCAGGTCACAGACTTATTATCCTAAGCACATACTTGCTTATGGGAGCGGGAAGGCTCGTTACGCTCTTGTCATGGGTTTTGGCTCTTTTCGGACCGACTGATTGGAGGCGAGGAAAGGTGGAGGTCTAAGCACCATGTTGAGACCGGGTCTCAAGTGTGGGGGCTTGGAGTGCAAGTTTGAACGGGGACCTGGACCCCGTGACAGGAGTGGAATGGGTTAGTCTTGCTTGTGCCTAGGACGCAAGCGGGGCATGTGTTTTAGGGTACCCAGCTGGGATACATTGGTTCGTGAATCATAATTTCTGTTAGACGGTACGACTTGGCTATGGTCTAGCACCGTAGTAAGAACTGGAAGATGAAAGATGGTGAAATAGTTCTGATTGCTTAACCCTTGCTTGAAAGTAGAATAGGTGCTTACCTAGAATGGTTAGCTAATGAAGTAATCATGACTGCTAATTAAACTTGATCTTAAGGACGTACTTCTAGTAATGCTTTTTGCAAATAAAATGAAAACAACAAACTCATATTGCCTATCATATCCTTGAGAGTCGAGAAACTATTCCCACTAGTTAGGTAAGTCTTGCGAGTATATTGTGTACTCAGGGTTTATCTTACCCCTGTTGCAGGTGCCGCTTGAGGAGTAGCTCTTGCGTGGAAGATTCTTCTGGTGGGCACAGACGGATCCTTGTATCGTTTTCGCTAGATGTTTATTTTCATTCTGTTGTTTAATTATCGCACTCTAAACTCTGGTATTGTAATAAATAATTTCCAACAACTCTTGTTGTATAAAATGCAATAAGTATTGTAAGCTCGTACTCATTATTGGATTCTGAATGTAAAACGTGGATTGTTTTGAGTTCTCCCTTGGGGTGTGCTCGACGGAACTGTCCGATGTAGCTCACTTTCGAGGTGCTTAGTGTCTAGTGGAAGATGAGCACCTCCGAAAGCGTGTTATTTCGGACGGTTCTGCCACACTTAATTTCTTTGCTTCTCTTCAGTCATTGACGGATAGAACGACATCTAGAAACATGGATGAGCTCATCGCGAATGTGGACAATGAGTATCAAAACTACAACCCTGTCATTCTGAATAGGATATTCCTCACGCTACAAGGATGCATGATTGAAGTTATGAAAGATAATGGAGGGAATAGGTACAAGATCCCCCACATGAATAAGGAGAGTCTAGAGGCAGTAGGCATGCTTCCGGAATCTCTTAGTTGTGATAGGGAGATAGTTGAGAAGGCAATTGAGTTGTTGAACAACTAATGGAGTTGGTTGTCTAGCTTTTGAGTTCTGCAGCAACTAAGGGATATGTTTATGTAGCAGTTGTATATATGTTTATGTAACAGTTGTATATATAAACAACACTTTTGGCATGGAACAACAACTATATATATATAGTGTTACATAGTAATTCAACTACTACCATCTTCCCATTTATACTTAGTGAAACAGCAGTACCATTTACAGTAGTCAGGACCACTACAATATCTGAAACTACAGCATGCACCTATCCCCTACATATACAAGGAAGGGCATGGACAAAAGAAGAGAGCACTAATGCTCAACAGCAGCACCATTTGATGAAATACTAGTGAGAACTACTACATTATCCACAACTAGAGCATGCACTTATCCCATACATGTACAAGGAAGTGAGCAGTTGTTTAGTTATCATGGTCGTCCATGGTCTTAGTTCTCCTTACCTCTTGCCTTCCACACATTGATTGGTGTAGCCTCGTTGTCTGGCTCTATATCCGAGAAGCTAGCCTTATGCTCGTTATCGTCCTTGGTGTCATCTTTATCATCATTTTCCTTGATGCTTGCAATGTACCTTGTGCATGTGTTTTCCTTGCTGGTTCCAATCTGGCTTGTGCATGCCTTATCACTCTCCAACGAAACCTTGCGCCATTCATGGAACATGGTACTGCACAGGACGTAAACAAAGATGATCAAGTTACAGTGACAATCTAAAAATACCAATCGTAGCAATCCGATGCCTTCGCCTTACCACAAACGCCCACGAGTTTTTGTGACACCCTACTTGCCAATGAGCTTCACCACAGGCATATCCTGTGGTTCTGTTTCAGGCACAAACTCATCGTCCTCGGCAACAAAGGATGAAACCTGTTGGGGGCCTTCCTCATCCGAATCAGGGATCAACTCGAATCGATCCGCACCCCCTTCCTGCGTATCCCGAGCAAAATCCTGGCCTCCTATGGCGATGCAGTTGAGCTTCTTGTCCCACCAAGTTCCACGGCGCGATCGATCCCGCCACGCATCGGTTTGAAGGACCGCAACAGACCTTTCGATTGGATCCCCAAAGGCGCGTCGCATCCGCAATCTCTGGAGGAACCGGCCACTCCCGTGCAGGCCTCTACCACCACTGCCTGCCATCAACCGAGCGCCTTGAAAACATGTTCCTAAATCAGAGTAGTATATGTTACAGTGTCTTACTATATAGGAGTAGCAATGGATATATATATATATATATATATATATATATATATATATATATATATATATATATATATATATATATATATATATATATATTAATCGTTGCAATTTAATTTATTTATTTATTTATTTGTTTTTGGTGAATGGAACATGACGTTAACAAAGAAGTTCAGACTTAAATTTGGGACCAAACTAGCATCATCTAATAATAAATACGTGCCAGTACTGACAATGTTTGTAGTATCTCTTTGTGAGATTGCGCTACACGCTGACATGCACATGCACTCGATGCAGCAGCCATGATGGTTGCAGAAAGCGAACGGAATGGAAAATTGAAGAGAAATAATTGATGTCGGTCCTTATTGGGTTCCAATTTAGAGCTCAAATTACTAGATTCTTGCCAGCCAATGAAACTGAATGGAAAAAATTATTAAAAAAGGACGGACAGCTCAGAATCGATGAACCTCACCTTGGCCCTTGCCCTTGGCCCCTGTCGTGCACCATGGCCAGATACGAGTAGCACACAAGCCGGTGGAAGTTGCGATCTGGAGAAGGCGACGGGCGTTGAAGACACGGGGGCGCCGCCGCACCTGCCGCTGCGACTTAGTGCGGCACCTAGGCAGCCTGCTTGACCCGTGCACCGATGCGCTGAAGGATGCGAGGGGGAAAGCGACGGTTGATGAGATGGGCCCCGCCTCTGTGCCTGGCCACCAGAGCTCCGCCTAGATCTGCACCCCCTCCGTCGCCCTTATTCTTCAACTGCGAGGCCTCAATCTGGTGGGTGGTGTAAGACCGGTGAACGGGAAGGCAGAGCAGCAGGCCGCCACGGCTCTCAGATGGGGAGAGACCACGAACGCCATGGGAGCGATGGAGGGAGTGAAAGGATATGCCTCCTCCACCGTCTGTTTTTTTTTTCAATTCGGTAGTGGACGACAGTAGGTGATGGATGGACGGGTGTTGTACTCTGGCTATAGGGTGGGACCCACGCTAAGACCTAAAACGACATCCATTCTGGTATATGTTTTAAATGCTTCGACGACCTGGGAAGGAGGGAGTATAGAGGTATAGTGGTACTACCAGATTTTCTTTTTTGATCTTGGTACTGGCCAGGCGCAACGTGTGTAGTACATCCATTTCATGATTTCGCGCCAGTGTTCTGTTCACTGTGGACTGTCGTTGTGTGCTTAATGGGCCTGGGGGCCTTGCCTGAGCCCAATCGATCTAGATCTCTCTCTCTCTCTCTCTCTCTCTCTCAAATGGCAGATAGCTATAGATGTCGTATTCCACCATGGACCGCGTATTCGGCCCAGTACAGCAATTAGGTAGGCCTCCTCCAAGCTGAAGAAACGGCCCAAGATTTTGAGTTCTCACTGAAGCCCATGCTCAATTTATCCTCTTTGGCGATGTTTCAGATGCACAAGAATACTGTGCCTTTTGCTATTAAAAAAAACAAGAATACTGTGGCTATATATATTTGAAGAAATGGGAACTTCTGGTCTGCCAAACGCTACAAATTCATGATGATTGGGCATATGGCTGTTCACAAAGTTTATCTTTGGCTCAGGAAATCATCTTGTCGGGTTAATTAATGCGTAAGATGTTCTTTATTTGGGCTTATTTTGGCTCATGTTCAAGGACAGATTTCAACGTTCGTGGATTCCTACGCAAAAAGAAATTAGAAATCGACCTGTAAATTAATTAGGTATTCTGATGCGCAATAAAGCATCTATACCTACGATGTAACTTTTGCAAGGACTTGTTGGGAATCAGTTAAACTAAACATCCCTAGTACAATCTATGTATAAATTGTTGATTGATTTTGATGTTTCACCTATTCGTCTATGGAGATTAAAAGTGCCTTGAAAAATAAATATATTGTGTTTGTATTTGCATAAGGTGTATCAGAACCTTTAGTGTCAGGTGTGTCGTGTTTTAGAGACAACTAGTATTTTTATCTTTGCAACACATGGGTGGAAGTTTAGCAACTGAATTTGCTAGAAGCAATGTCTTTATATTAAGTATTTTGTTGTTAGAGAACTATTAGTTTGCTTCACTGTAAATGCAAGTATTGCGATAATTTACGCCCATAAGCATCCTTGGATGTTCAGGCTAGGATTTGTTTTATTTTATTGTCAAAAAGAACACTAAACATATGTACTCACCTTGCTGCCACCGCAAATCGTTCAGGGCATTCAAAGGGAGCTCTAGCCATGCTTTTGCTCAAGGAGGTCATATCAAGGACCGTGATATGGTACGCTTGCATACAAACAAAATTACCACGAAACAAAGAACATTCATGAGTAGATGATCATGGATTCATGACACACGGTGCGGCAGAAGACTTGGTACAACATGCATAGATGCAGTCAACATCAGGGAAGTGGTAATATGATTTGACATAATGCACAAACCATGAACAGTGCCTCTACACTCACCCACACATACAAGGAACGAACATCGCATGTAGGTGTGCTAACACCTCACATGCAACAGCGCTCTAGGGATGCGATAGTGTCAGGTTCATAAACCCGGGGTCCCTCACGGACCGGCTTCCCAACAAAGGTTTGGCCCGGCAGGCAACGTTGCAAACAAACACGCAACTCATGAGCCGGCCTAATTACCTAAACGACAGGCCAGAAGGGCGATCCAATCACCGACCGAAAGGTCTGGCCGAGGAGGAACGGCGCCCGTTTCCGACTTCGGCCCACCTCTCCGACCGGAGCGCTCGCTTCGGTCTCTAGCCCGCCTCCAGACGGCCTCTCCGACCGGAAGGCCTGGCCAAAGCACTACTCCCGACTCCGACCCGCGTCTCCGACTAGGGATGCACCAAACCCCGCTCACTTTGCTTCTTCTCCAATCGGCGCATTCGAGCCCGATCGGGACTAACCGACCGGGGCCTTTGCTCGGTAAGGACCAAGGAACGACGGAGAAAGTAAGGCGAGGCGCACAAGTCAAACCACAATACTAGGGACCGTACCCTCCGCTTTGCCAGTAGCCTGCGACTCTCCTGCACGCACAGCAAACCCAAGCAATGTTGTAGGCGCGCCGACATTTTCCCTCTGATATTGTGGGCGCCATTAACTCCCATACGGTAAGGCTCCCCCCCCCCCCCCATGCCTCTGGGCATCAATAAGGTGTTGTGGCGCCGGCATTAACCGTACCAGGCGAACATGGTAAAACCCCTTGCATGTCTCTAGGTATCAACAGTGTGGCAGGCGCCGACGTCTACCATACCTGAAGAAGACAACACAACCTCCCACATGCATCTGACATTCAACAGTATTGTGGGCACCTACCATCGTCCCCTGTACCACGGGCGTGGGCAACAAGGCTTAGTAGCATACGTACTCTCTCCCTCTCACTTGTAAGGCCATCCCCTTCATCTATAAAAGGGGATGCGCTCTCTCCCAACAGATTTAGATTCATTTAGATCGATCAAGTTCACTAGTACACAACAGCAGAACCACTAGATTCAAACCTCGAGCACATGCCCGAACACTTAGCACGTAGCGGAGCTCCCGTCGCTCTCGGTCCTTCTGACCAGAGTCCGACCGGACCTCTTGTACCCCCCATCTTTCTCCTTCTCGATTGTAACCCCACTGTAAACTTTGAGCACTTGGGCTTAGGAATAAAGTCACCGACCGACTCAAACCGGACGTATGGCATGTTGCACGAACTAGTATAAACCACATGTCATTGAGTGCTAGGCCACCTCCGATCACAACGTCACGGCAAAACTATAAATATTTACTTGTTGGTCACTTTACACAAGACAGATAGATTGTCTAGAGTTCGATGGCAATCAAACATACCTTTACTTCCCTCAAGTATTGAAGCACAAGTATTGTTTCAATATATCGATGTCACTAATGGACCTTCAACGCTTGTGGCCCATTATGACTAAAAGTCTAATGTATCAAATATATCTAAGCCTATTAGAAGATCCAACGGGCTGACTCTACGGCATGCATCAGGTAGCCATCATCTTAATGTACAGCATTTGGATAGTATGACATGATATGTATTCAACCAACTATATTATGAAGCATGGAGTTATTCATATCTCCACTCACTTCGTAGATGTGGGGTCTCCATAGAGAGGGTGACTTCAACAACCTCTCAAATCCAATATAAAAACTATAACGACTCACCCAAATGAGAGAGTCACGATAACGTGTTGAGAATCGACCTATCCATGGACTGCCAGATCCGTTTTCTCATTCTCAATCCCAATAAAGAGGCGTATATGTGTAGAAGTCGTATATAGATCCCGTCTTCCTTTCTTAATCCTCAAGAACAACACATAAGAACACAGAAAACACACATATATGAGGGGAGCCATCATTTTTATTAGTCATTCCAAGTATACATATAATCCATGAATATAGATAATAGCCTTGTGGCATATATGGTAACCTACAAGGTATATATGGTATAAGCCCATCAATCCTCTAATTGAGAAATTCTTAACATCTATCATTCTTGTGAATAGAATTTTAAGTCTCCCATTCACCCTCCCCCTTTAGTTGCCATTTTGGTCCTTCAGACCGACATACAAATAGTGACAGTGTGACATTTACTTTGGCATGCCACATATTGATACGTGGAAACATAACTTGTGAGGTTTCAGCCACGGAACAATAGCATGAAATATTATTTTGTATTGGCATGAAATACTTGGGAGAACAAGGTAGAGATCTGCAAAAAAAATTGAGAGAAAAGGGTGGAAAAAAATCCAAACTAGGGTTTTGTTTAGAAGAAAAGGGAAGCCAGCTCCTCCAACAAAAGGCAAGCCAGCCTTTTTTTTAGGGGAAGAAAAGGCAAGCCAGCTCCTCCGTGACTCCTGGTTATCATGGAACAGTGGGCCGACATCTTATTCTCTGGTCCGTGGTTGCTCTTGCTTCCTTGTGGTTGTGGTGGAATAATGGGCCAAACAAGCACGCATGTAATAGCTGAGACCTGAGACTGAGATATATGAGCAGGCAAACCACCTCCATCAACTTTTGCGAAAGTCTGTTTTTCCTCTCTGAACTCTAAAACCAAGTAAACCACCTCCCGGAACTTTTAAAATCGTTCGTTTTACCTCCATGACCGGTTATAAGCGGTTTTTAAATACGGTTTTATCTTTATCTTTTTTATTTATTTCGGCTGAATTTTTGAAAAATCATAGTAAATCACAGAAAAACCATAAAATGGAAAATCTAATTTTTCCACCATTTTTCTATATTGCATGCTGAAAACATTTTAACTAGAACGAATTGGTTCTAGTGTGCTGTTGGTGCAAGAAAGAGAGAGGGAGAGCACTACCCAGCTCAGTTTTTTCCTGACGGTCTCTTCCGTCAGGAAAAGTACCGAAAACCGTCAGGAAAGGTCATCTGTGACGGTTACCATCAGGGATAAGCCGTCAGCAGAAAAACGTCACGGAAAGTCGAGTTTTCCTGACGGAAAACCGTCACTGACTATTCACTGACGGCAGAAACTATCAGGAAAGATATACAACATCGGTTTTCAGTCTGCCGTCAGGGAAGATTTCCCCTAACAGCCGAGAAACGTCAGGGATACTTTTAGCTTTTCCCGTCGGTCAGAGAACTGTCAGCGAAATTTCAAACTTTCCCTGTCAGTGCAGCACCTTCAGGGATGAAATAACTTTCCCGTCGGTTCGCCAACTGTCAGCCATGAAATAAACTTTCCCGTCAGTGTCCAACCGTCAGGGAAAATATTTCCAGTCATTTGGCTGGCAAAATCACTGATTATTTAGCCATTATTATTCTACTGTTCACAGCAACTAATCGGCCACTAAAAATAATATTACAGCAACTGATGTAACCATTCATCCACGCTTAAGTAATAAATATTACATTCAATAATCTTAGAACATCATTCAAGTTGTTCATGAATACAAAGCTTTATAATAATTAGTGCCTCCTAGTCATCCTTCAAGTTAGGGACCTAAAAGGGACAGCACAAGTTAAAAGTGCTAACTTACAATTAGATGCTATCCTCCCAACACAACTAGTAGCTAGCTGCTATCTCATGACAGTATGCAGCCACTTCTGCACAAGATAGCCAAAAGAAATCGACATTCCTTGACCCAGGAAGTCTACAGGTAGCAATCTGCTTTTTTATGGCAGTATGCACCCACATTTGCACAAGCACACGCAGTGAATAGGCAACATGCCGCTGCTACTCAGACAACTAGCATGCATGCCTTGAAGCGTGATGGAATCCGCATATTTTGCTTCACAGCCTAGATATGCAGCAGCTCATGCACAACCAAGATACCTCCCTTGCACAAAATACCCAGCATGACACATGCATGGCCTTCGAACTTTGTTGCCATCAGCTATAGTAGATAAACAAAAGACTACAGCTTCACAAAATACTTCCTGCCATCGCACAACTCAATGGCCATCACTGTTGTCCATGTCCAGGTTGGCTGAAGCACGAGATGATCCATCTATAGTCCCTCCCTACAACAAAAATAAATATATAGGATCATTCCAGGAGGCAAGCATAAATAAATAAAACAGCCTACTGCTGACGCCAATCCTTACAGGAAGCAAGCATGCATCTATTTACAACCACTGAAACACTTTGAACAAATAAAAGGCAGCAGCTGCATAGTTTCATTCACTAGACAAATAAACTAGGACTTACTAGCAGCAACACACATGCCAACAACCAACAAGCAAAAATAGCCACTTGTTCTACAGAATCTTTTCACATACAGATGAAGATAATGAGAGCTAGTGGTATCTCTATTTTAAGCACATGCACAAGCAAGATACATATTGGTACAGCAAGACAATTTTGAGCACAAGCAGCTGCAGGTGAAGAAATTGTTAATCTTACCATGTCATTTTCTTCTACCTGAAGCAGGTCTGGTGGTATCTCTATTTGTACTTTGTTAAGAATGAGCTGCAGGTTAAGATACATAATTATACATAATTAGTATTTATGAACCTTGAACTGTAGACAGATAGTGCACCAAAACAGAATTATACCTCAAGTACACAACCATTACGCTTCACATCTCGAGTCAATGCAGCATTCTCATATCTTGCCAACAGGGTTTGAAAAGCCCTTGAGGTTGCTGGCCTTGTTCCACTTGCCTTGGCAGCATCAATTATTGTAACCATGTTGACAGCACCATTTCCTATTGCAAGGCGACCATGCGGCAAGCCACCACCAATATCATATGCAATTTGACCATCAAAAGGTTGCTCTTGCCAGTTCTCTGGATACTTTTCTTGCAATGCTTCATTATAGTCATCCTACAAATAACAGAAATTATTAGTCAGAAACTACATAGGGAAAAGCATGAAACTAGATAGAAGGTGCTTCTACATACAACAAGTTTCTTTACTCGTTCTGGAATTGGGCCAGCATTCCCATTGGCATCACAATTCTTAAGGCCAGCTTTCATGCAGGAAAAAGCATTTATTAATGGTGGGTGCTCACCAGCTAAATCAACTAGCATAGAATCCATCCGATCTGTCTCACCAAATCCCTCATTTTCTACCCCAGTTGATGTAAGAAATAGAAGTCAAGTAACTATTGCTTCTTAACAGGCCGATGGCAATGCAGCAGCTACTGCACATGTCCGGTCCCTCTCTACAACCAAAACGATAAATGGAACCATTCATGAGATCATATGTCATGGATGTAGCCAAGAGATCATACTTTCACAGCAAGTGTAGAAGTAGAATCTTCTAATTGCAGTTCAGATACAAATAGAACACTAAAATAGTCCTATTAAAACATGTATCTAGCACCTCGGTCCGATGCATGTAAATAACAATAGAAGCACCAGACCAAAAATAATTTTGTACCATACAGTAAGAGCCAACGCAGTCAGGGATCTCACCGTTGTGTTACAGAAGTAGGGGAAGATCTGTGACATTTTGGATGGCACTATGCAGCAGCTTCATTTTTGTAATAACGCACAGCTCAGTGAGGACAAATAAACTGCACATCTGGATACACATCTAGTCGAATATGCCTTTACAACATTAGTTGCTATGAGTAACTGTTCAAGAAGGTGATTGGCACTGTTTTCTGTCTGCATAATAGTAAGCTCTTTACTATTCTAGCTGTAGTTCAGAAAACTTCAACAAGATAGTGCACTAGAACCTATCTTTAGAACCAAAATGTTCAGATTTAAAAGATTGTCTGTCCAGCACAAAGAATAAGAATATTCAGTCTTGTCACATGGTAGCCTGATCTTACCATGTCATTTCTTCTCCCAAAAAAAACAAAACTGTGCAGAAATCACATACTAAAAATAACTATGCAGAAGTACTTGCTGAATAATGCAAAATGCAGCTGTGCAACACAAGAGGATACCAGTGTGTTTGCTTGCATTATCATCAGTGTACACTTGCAGTTGCAGGAAAGATTATTCAAATAAAATTCAGTGTACTAGCACTCTATAAGGGTAAATTGTGTTAGATGGTGTCATCTCTATTGTGTCAGCTTGTGAGTAATTAGATAATAGAGTTGTCTGCATTTGCATCAGTTGTAGTGAGTCTTGGCACTATCGATTTGAGGGTAGAGACTAGAGACTACAGAATGAATGACCTTATGATTTTATTAATTACTAAGACGCTCATCTCATTTTGGAATTTTCCCTTGTTTGATTGGCTAGTTTAGAATATGTTGAATATCAGTAGCTACCAAGAAGCTTATCTCATTTTGGAAAATTTCCTATCCAATTGTTGTAACACATAGTTGCATTAGACAAAAATGGCTTCATGTTATTCTGCCTCACCATAATTGCTACAGATCTCTCACAACACAGGACTTGCTCCCACACCTCAACTTGACATCAACTTGACACAAAATCCTAATAAACTTGATAATAGAAAAGGCAGTCACAACATCTCATGTACGACATTTTCAGGATTTCTCATGTTCGACATTTTCAGGATTTGAGCCACCCTTCAATTTTGATGTGGGCTGAAGGCAAAGTTTAACATAATCATTGAAGTATGTGTGCAGAATTAAAGCATGTAGATGGATTTAGTTGCAAGTTACTGAACCTCAAGAACTATGAACTGACCGAGCGAGATGACATTGTTAAAGCAGGCATGTCCATCTTCATGCAAATTCTTCCAAGTAAACTGACTGCAAAAAATATATATATAATCAAGAAAGAATGTGTGGTCAATAGCACTAATCTTAGTATGCACAATCATATTTAGTGTTTTATATAGCATGAATCAGCAGGTTAACTACAAGCAGCAGGAAACATATAGCATGAATCAACATGATTAACTAGCAATCTAATTCTAAATCTGCATAACTAACAAGATAGCTAGCTAGTAGTGACAAGCAATCAATAAGATATCTTGCTAAAACAGTTATCTCAATACGTCAGGCTATGATATGAACATTAAATATTTATTTAACTGCCAATGATGCCTCGCAAAGTCTGTACATAATAAAATCCTTCACCATGTTCATTATTGAGCATGAATAGCTGTAGTTCAGAGAAACAAGGTAGTTCCAAGATGCATCTGCAGCCTATATACATGCAATAGAATTTGTAGATGTACCATGCCCACAAAATCTCTACCCCTACTTTCACTTCAAATAAATATTTCTGTAGCAGAGTAACAAATCATTCTTACATTGGCAAATTTCATAGCTATTGCCTATTGGTGAGTTTGACAGCAAGTAACTGAATGAAAGCAATGAAAAAAATAACAATTCAAGAATTGCAATAATCTAAAATTCCAGATTTGCAAAGGCATAATTAAAAAATCTACCAGATCGATTTATAAGGTACCAAGAACAAGTGTCTGCAACGTCTTACCGTAGGGAGAGGAGAAGCAGCGTTGATAGCCTGATATTGCTAGCAACTACGGCAGCGAAGGGTTGCTCACCTGCACCAGACTACTGACACATGGATGCCGCCTGTGCTGTGGCGCCTACGCCGCATCCACGCCACCACCCACTAGGTCCTCCACACCCACCCGCAGGTTCGCGTCGCCCATCCCACCACGGAGCCGGCAGCGGCCCACGCCCTCGTACGCGGCGCCGTCCGTCGCGGAGCCGGAAGCCACGCCCGCGCCGTCCGTCGCGGCGGCGCCTGCCACAGCGCCGCTCCACCCGCGCCGCCCAGAGCACAGAGGCCCGAGCCACCTCGGAAGGCGAGGACCGAGGAAGAGCCAGATCTGGGGGGAGGACAGGAGAAGAGAAGCTCGGGCGGCGCATGGGACTGGGGGACTGGGGAGAGGATAAGGATGGGGAAATTTCCCCTTGCGCGCCTTGTGCGCTTGCCAGCCGCGCGCTTTTCTTTTCGCCTCTATCTCTGCTGCGTGGGCCGATCCTTTTCCAGAAGCGCGCGAGCTCTATTTTTCGGCCTTGCATGCAGCGCCCCTGACGGTGCCTGACCCTTTCCCTTCGGTATATGGAGAACGTAGGGGAAGAGTCAGCGTTTCTGGCGGAAGGTTGGGGACCGAGGGGAGTACTCCGTACCGACGGGAAAGAACTGAGCTAGGGTAGTGGAGGTTTCTGTTTTGTCTGTACAGCTCCCCGTCTGGTGCCTGCATTGCATGCATGGCCCCTTGCGCATGTAGCAAAATCTCATGAGTTTCAGTATCTACCCACCCACCCTTCCTCTCTTCTCACGATTTCTAGTATAGTCGGTGAATTATTTTTTTCTTTTGTTTCGGTTCACTGTTTCAGAGCACTTTTTTTTCAGAACCGTATCTAATATCATGTGCTTTGAAATTATTCATCAAATCTCTTGTGTAGCAGTAATATATTAAGTCTTTTAATCCGTCTTTTTCAGCTTATTTTTTCAGCCGGGACAGTATTTTTCTCTCACAACAAATCAGCCGGAACAGTGTTTTTTGAGTATGCAAAAGTGGCTTATTCATTCTTTGATTGTATGTCATGTAGATCCGTTCAGTCCTACTATTCTTTATTCAGGTTTCAATTTTTGGAATTTCTATGTGTATGGATAACAGGATAAGTAGCCTTGATACATTTATTCAAGAGTCACTATTTTTCAGAGCTTTTTATGTTTCTGAATCAGATGGCACGAAAAAGGAAAAATTGTACAGAGCATGCTGATCATGCATTTTCTCTAAGAGGAGGCCAACATCGCAACTTTTAAAATTTTAAAGATCTAGAAGATAATGATAATGTAAGCGTATCATTTCTCAAAATCCTATTTTTATATTAGTTTTTACATTCTTATTAGTTTTGACATTTCTTTTTTTAGGCTAGTCTGTTTGCCACACATTTAGAAATGTTGGACAAGTTTATTGACTTCTGTAAGCGGAAGGTATGTTATCATTGATATTGAATACATATGGATTAAGATTTTTCATTGACCAATGGAAAAGTCACCGTGCCACTGAATTGTACCGTTTTTATTAATACATAATATTACTATGTCACATGTAAGCTGATCATTATTACTATTTCATAGTTAGAGAAAGTGTTATCAACTTTTCAGAGCACTATTGAATCAAGAAACATTAATCCCTAATAGAAGTTGGGTTCACTACTTGGTTTAAGAAAACTGAAACAATGTAATAATGGGAGAGAGACCAAAATTAAGCACCATACAGTTACCTGTTCTTGGCTTGATCTGATTTTGACATTTTTCTTCATTATGGTTCCAATTCGTTGTTCCTATATAATGAAATGAAAGATATTTATATTTTTAGATCCCCTCTCTAAATGAAATGCACTTTTTTACAATCTATGATTATCTGAAACGAAATCTAGTTTTCTTTAGGTATACCTGCATATTAATGAAACTGCATGCATTTGATCTTTTTTCAATCATCTGTGTAACTGTGTTGTATCCATTCCCGAAGTTGTGTGTACCTGCATATAAATGAAATGCACTTTTTTCAATCATCTAATCAGAGCTCGTACAGGCAGATCAGGTGATCATAGACTATGCACGATCACATACTAGAGCCCACGGACAAACGTCATATCGTCTTGACATGAGAAGGAAACGTTTGGTGCTTCTATTGGCATTTGGAGCGGCCGTGCAGATTGCCCGTAGAAAAGAAGGGTGAACAGAAGGGACAGATAGATTATTACTCTATATGTGATTCCTATTTCTGTTCTTGTTCTTCAGAGCATCAACAGCAAAGAGCTGATCTGATATTTGTATGTAGACAAATCCATTAAGAACAGGATGATCGAGTATGTTTTAGTGAAGGATTTTTAAGTACTTTTTCATGATCTATTTCATTCGCATTTTGTTGGGTTGGCCTTGCATTATGGTTGGCTCGAGCTTCTCTTTGTCTTCATCATTGATTCTATTCTGTAGATCTGTTTCAGTATGTCCTTCCTTTTATTTTTTTTTCTTGGTCTCCAAGTTGATCGCGTTCGGTTAGCTTGCCAAAAGGAATCTGAGTGGTTGGATATGTAACGTGACTTTTTGTGTAAGTTGTTGCGTTCGGGCGGAGAGGGAGGACCTGGTTTGTTATTTTATTATATTTTTGCGTTCATTCATTTTTTCGTTGTCATTTTATATAGATGACGTATTTAATTATGACTGGCTCAAAAAATGGTTGATAGCTGTATGAACTATATCATCCGGGTGATGGGTAGAGGGAAAACGAAAATGAAAAGAAAAGGGCAGCCCAGCTCCTCCGTAACTCCTGGCTACCAGGGAATAATGGGCCGGCACTCATGAGCAACCTCCTGTTGGTGGAACAGTGGGCCGAATAGGAAGACATGTTTTACCCGAGAATGTTTGGAGTGCTAAAAAAAAGAGAAGAAAAAAGAAAAAAGTCCACATTGCTTTCCTCAATTTTCGCGAAAGTCCGTGTTTCCTCTCTGAACTCCAAAACAGGACAAAACACCTCCCTCAACTTTTAAAACCGTTCATCTTACCTTCCTGGTCCTGTTATAAGCAGTTTTGAAGGCGGTTTTGTCTTTTTCTTTTTATTTATTTCGGCTGAATCTTTCAAAAAATCATAGTAAATCACAAAAAAAATCATAAAATAGAAAATTCAATTTTGTTGGACTCAACATGAGTAAATCTACACAGTGAACATATAATATGGTATGCTTTAATACAAAGTTTTTGTTGTAGCTTTAGATCTATACTTTTTTGTAATTAATTGGAATAATTCATAGCTGCAGTTTCTATTGTCCAATTGTGATTAAATTTTTATGGTGGGCCAATTATTGTATGATTGAACTATAGTAAAAATTTCATACTCATTAAATCATGTATAGCTTAGTTATAGATTTATTTATATTTAACCAGCGTAAACCTAAATAGCGCTGAGGCTGTACCTGAGAATGTTTGGGGTTTGGGCTTAGCACCCGTGTTTTCAATTGTATACCGAGAAAACAGGCCTACAGGACGCCATGCCCGGCGGAAGCATGGATCCAAGCCTGGAACGATAGCGCTGAGGCTGGGAAGATCCTTCCTTCCTTCACCATCGTCGTGCGCCATGATCACGCTGTGCCTCACTGTCCCCGAAGGCCGAAGGCCGAAGGCCGAAGGCCATGGTCTGCGGAGTTGGAGTCTTTGGACAGCGTAAATCGTTGCCGAAGCCACAGGCTCCTTTCCATCGTTGCCGAAGCCATTGTCGTCGATCGTCGATGTCAATTTTGATCTGGGATGCTAAAACGCACGTCAATGTTTCAAGGGGGACGGGGTTCCAGCTTGTTTTGCCGATAAACAAGGTTGTAGACCTCGTGAGGCCTCGAGGTCGAGCGTCGCTTCCTCAGTCCCTGGCTTCGTCAGGTCAGATGCATTTGACACGCCGGCCAGTCGGCATCAGGCAACCCTGGCGGCACAAACACACAGTGCAACATTCGACGCATGCTGCCTAGTACGCACGGGTTGCACTGCTGACTGAATTCATGGCGGCGACGGGTTGCGGGCGCCCAGCAACGCGACGTTGTCGTCGTTGTGGTTCGAAGCCGGTTGGTACTGGTGCCTGCCAAGCTGGCAGTGGGGACCAGGGAGGAGCCGGTCAACTCCGCCTCGTGGCTCGGTGCAGCAGCAACCAGCCAGGGAAGTGGGGCATGTCATGTCACCGGATTTCTCGGCCAGGTGACCGGGTCCCCGACCTTGGTTCGTTCGATAGGCAGCTGCAATGCCTTTGCCCTTTTGCCTTTGGACCAACCTCAGCTGGAGACTGCTGGGGTCTGGGGTGCTTCGAAGCGGCGGAAATGGACGAGAGGAGCGGCCGGGCATGCGCGAGCGCGAGCGCGATCCCAAGGCACATGGAACACGGCCTCTCGAGGCAGCAAAAGCCGCGACGCGGCCCGATCGCGCTCGCGCCATCAGAATCCGCGTGCGGGGCTCCGACCGTCTGGGCCAAACAAGGAAACGTCACACGGCCGGCAAGGGCAAGGCAAGGCGATCCCAGGGCCAGGAGACCGATCCATCGATCGCTCGTACTACTGGGGAGCGAATCCACATGCTTCCACTTTCATCGATCTGCCTTCTGCTTCTGCCAGCGGTATAATCAAAATCATTCCGGAGTTCTGCCACGGCTATAGGATTCTGATCTTGGCAGCAGGCAGGATCCAAAGGACAAAGCCACGTCCCACTCCCACATGGCAGTAACGAAATCCATCACGAGTTTACAGTGGTTTGGGAGGAGGAGTACTTGATAAAGGACCTGTTCGCTGGTTGATGCTGGTACTGGTTTGGGTTGGCTGGTGCTGGTTTTTTAAGAGGAAAACACTGTTGGCTGACTGGTTTGGGCTGGCTGAAACCAACAAGCGAACAGGCTGAAAATATTAGGGAATGTTGCAGGAGAAACATGCGTAGATTCTCATTCTGTCGTTGCCCATCGTTCATTCCCTGTGCTGTTCGTTTGGTCGTATTTGGGTTTATCATCCAACGAATAGTATTTTTCTCTCACACCAAACCAGTCAACGATACTTTCAGCCATAGCTTATAAGCCAAACAAGCCCAACCAAACAGGGCGCATGTATTTGACTCCCAAGACCTACCCGTCGTCGCTACCTGCGCCTCTACTCTACCTCCTCCTAGCTCTGCTCTGCTGCTGTTTGGCTGCCTCTGCTATGCTAAAGGCGCTACGAGCACTGAAAGCATACACTTGCAATTGCAAGCAGGGCACAGCCCACAACAGCTAAGCTAGCACAGCAGCAACAGCTAGCCGCGCACGGGCCGGCAGCACCAGCGCGTAGTACAAAACAGTCGTTTTCTGATCGTCTCATTCCAGGGAGGAAGAGTTATTATAGAGCTGACCAGTACGGCGGCAGACAGTTCCTCCCAGCCAAGGATTGCCGGCGGGCGTCGAGCTGGAAAGAGCGCGAGCCTTGGATACGACAGGGGATCCAAAGAACACAACAAGCGAGCCATTGTCTGCCTGCTATCCCTCCCTCCTAATCCAAGCCATAAAAGTGTTTTGATCTCGATGGCCCACAACAAACTACCCCTCTGTGCCTGCGCTGCGCACACCTTTCTTTCAGAGTCCTGACTAAAAAAACTGAAGAAAGGCCAAGCTCACGACAACCGCAAAAAGATGAGCATCAAGGACAAGAGTTCGTCGTGCAGAATCAGCATGGTTGATCTTGAAACAGTGCCCAGCAACCGTCGTTGCCCTTACAATACAAGAGTGTAGAGGACGATAAGAAAATATCATAACAAATGAACACGCGCGACACAAGCATAGCAGTAGATTTTTACTAGTACTAGCTCGTATTACAATAGGCCAAAAACTAACTAGATAGCAAGAGAAAAGACATCAACGATGAGCATCAAATCAAAAGGGGAAAAATAAGCAAAGAATAATCAGACAAACAGAGAAAAAAGATGCTCCGCAACAAGTTCCTTTCTTGCATTCATTTCTCCGGTGAAGATTGGCCACCACCGAACAGTGAAATTTTGAACCCTTCGCTTTCCCTCTTCGCTCTTTCCAGCCTCGGCTTGTCCTGCTCTGCTCGACGGCTCCTCCTCGGCTCGCACACGGCCAGCCTCACACCTGTTTCTTGCCCTCGGCCTCCTCGTCCTGTCCGTCCCCGGAGCTGTCAATGCCGGCCTGCTCCTTCCCCTCCTTGGGGCTCTCCAGCGCCCGCTTCTCCTCCTCCTCTTCCTCCTCGTTCTCGCCGCCGCCGCCGCCGCCGGCCTCCTTCCCCGCCGAGGCCGCACCGCCGCCGCTGCCCCGGCCCCGCTTCTCGGCGCGGGCCCTGAGGACGTCCAGCAGCTCCTGCATTGCCTCCGCCTTGCCGCTCCTGCGGTTCTTGATCAGCACCTCGCTCACGTCCGCCGGCGTGATCTCCGCGGCGTCCACCCACTCCTCCAGCCCGCGCATGGTGTCGCTGTCGCTGAGGCGGTCCAGCTCCTCGTCGCCCTGGAAGCCGAGGTAGTTCTTGAGCAGGATCTTGAGCGCCGGGAACGAGCAGTAGGACATGAAGATGTGCATGTCCATGCGGCCCGACCGGAGCAGCGCCGGGTCCAGCTTCTCGATGTGGTTGGTGGTGAACACGAAGATGCGCTCCGCGCCGCAGCACGACCACAGGCCGTCCGTGAAGTTGAGCAGGCCGGACAGCGTGATGGACCGCCCGGCCCCGGCGCCCCCGTCCTGGTCGACCATGGTGCCGTCGATGCTCGGCAGCCGAAGCTGCTGCTTCCTCGGGTTCGGCGGTTTGGCCGCGCGGTTGGTGAGGTCGACGGAGCAGTCGATGTCCTCGATCACGATGATGGACTTGGACGTCGTCTTCATCAGCAGCTTCCGGAGCTCCGCGTTGCTGCTGACCTCGGTCAGCTCCAGGTCGTACACGTCGTAGCCGAGGAAGTTGGCCATGGCCGCGATCATGCTGGACTTGCCGGTGCCCGGTGGCCCGTACAGGAGGTAGCCGCGCTTCCAGGCGCGTCCGGTGCGCTCGTAGAAGGCGCTGCCGCCGGCGAAGTCTCGGAGGTCGGCCATGATGGCCGCCTTCCGCGCGGGGTCCATGGCGAGCGTGCCGAACGTGCTCGGATGCTTGAACGGCACGGGGTCCCAGGGCAGGCCGCGCGTGTCCATGACCCCGCCCCGCGCGTTGGTGTAGAGCATCCGGTCCTGGCTGCGGCGCCGGATGTCTGCCGCCGCGGCGAGGATGTGGTCCAGGTACGCCGGGAGCAGCTTGTCCCTGTCGCCGCGCCGGATGCGGAGCGTGAACCGGCGCTTCTCCTCGGGGAGCGGCCGCCACGCGAAGCCCTGGCTCTGGCGCGGCGCCACCACGTGCTCCCACGTGACGGCGCACCCCGCGAAGGTGTCGACGACGCGGTCGCTGGCGGCGAGCCCGAAGGTGAAGGAGGAGGCGTTGAGCGGGCGCGACAAGCTGAGGCGCGCCCCCGACGCCGGCGCCGCGGTGCTGCTGAGGTACTGCTGCACGGCGTCGTAGATCTCGTTGGTGCTCATGCCTTCCATCTCCGTCACGTCGAAGTAGCAGTAGGGGGAGAAGGCGCGCGTGAGCCTGCCCAGCAGCCGCGCCAGCGCCGCCCGCAGCTCCGCCGGGAACATCGCCTGCACCACCCCCTGCAGGAACGCGAACGCGCCCATCAGCGACGCCAGCGCCGCCCAGTACTCCATCTTCCTCCCCTCTCCCTCTCCGCCTCCCCTTCTAGCTCGGTTCTTCTTGGGACGCTCGTCCGATCTTGGAAGGAAGCAAATGCGGCAATGATGAGTGGCTTTCTACAAGCGGAGGCGACGCATTTATAGGAGAAGCGGCAGAATGGAGAAAGATTTGAGGAGGGCGGGCGATGATAAACGAACGAAATGAGGTGCACTGGTGACAGTGACAGAGTAGGCCAGGACCAGCAAGGCAAAGTCGCTGTCAATGGAGCTCAGAGATTACTAGATGGTCAGACAGACGGATCTTGAGAGAGAGACGGTAGTTCAAAAAAAGTTTCCAAAAATCGGTGCAGTAGCTATCACATCAAATTTTACGGAGCATTAAATGTAGACGAAAAAAACTAATTACACAGTTTGGTTGAAAATTATGAGAGGAACATTTTGAGCCTAATTAGTCCATGATTAAACACCAATTGCCAAATAAAAACGAAAGTGCTACCGTAGCCAAATTTTCAAAATTTACGAACTAAAGGTGTATTTAGTTGGGGAGTTGAAAAATTTTGGGTATCACATCGGATATGTCGGAAGAATGTCGGGAGGAGTTTTTGAATACTAATAAAAAAACAAATTACAGAACTCATCATAAAACTGCGAGACGAATCTGATGATACTAATTAATCGGTCATTAGCACATGTGGGGGTACTGTAGCACTTAAGGCTTTTCAGGGACTAATTAGGCTTAGAAGATTCGTCTCGCGATTTTATCGAGAACTGTGTAATTAGTTTTTTTTCATCTACATTTAGTATTTTATATCTATATCCAAACATGCTCTTTTACTGTAGCAGATGAAAATGTTTGGAAACTAAACCGGGCCTAAACACAGCCGAGATGGAATTCGAGCAGGGCGACAGGATTCACAGCGGACGGACGGAGTACACATACCAAGAGAGATCTCCCGCTCAGAGGGGCCACTGCGAGCGAGATTTGCGACTGTGCAGTGTGTCATCATGGATAGAATGCTGTGCTGCAGCCAAACTGCCATCCTACCAAGCAGCCGGCGATGTTTTCATTTAAGGGCGTGTTTAGATGGTCAAAATTTTTGGTTTTTTGCTATGGTAGTATTTTTGTTTATATTTAGCAATTAGTGTCTAATTATGGATTAATTAGATTTGAAAGTTTCGTCTTGACGATTTCTCACCCAACTATACAATTAGTTTTGTTTTTCATCTACATTTAGTACTCCATACATGTACCGTAAGATTCGATGTGACACTTTGGGGTGAAAATTTTTGGGAACTAAACAAGGCCTAAATAACAACGATATTTACAAATTAGAGCAGATAAACACAACAACAGGACATGGACATTCAGCCTGTTCGGTTAGCTGGTTCGTATAATTGTTTGATTCGTTTATATAAGAGAGAGTTCATTGAAACAGTGTCAATGTGAGGGGGCTGGCCAGCCCAGCCAGCCCCAGCCGAACACGGCGATTAACGAGCGAAGAGCAAGGTTGGCGTACCCGCTGAGCTAGCTAAGGACCTGTTTTGATTGAGCCCAGGCAAAATCACGAGCCTAGAATGCTGACTGCTTAGGCAATTTTCGCTTGGACAAACAATCAAACACGCGCCCTAAGGGCCTGTTTGGTTCCGCGACAGCCCGTCGTGCGACCGTGGGTTGCGTTCGCATTTTCCGAGCGTGCAGTGGTCGTCCAATGCAGGGGCCAATTCAAACCATTCAGCGGGGGTTTTTTCGCGTTCTCCGCTCAAACGCGTCGCCGACGCGGAACCAAACAAGCTCTAAGTGACACTGCGAGACGCCTTGCAGAAGGAGCTCGCTATGATGAGGAGAGTTGCACATCGACATCCATCATGGGACATCACATCACCGCCGCGGACAAATGAACAAGATGCTTGGCGGCAACAAAGAGCAATGGTGGAGCGGAGGCCCGATGGACGTGGCCATACTCGTAGCAGGGTGAACTCGGTGTCGACGGGATATATTCAGTCAGGCCTTGAACACCTAGACCTTTGATGGTGGTGAGAAAGAGGCTTCGCGGAAGAATCTTTGAAATTGCTAATGTTTGGTGGACTGCTATCTTCTTCTTTTTATTTTTGAGACCAGGTAAACAAAACAGAAAATCTGTCAAATGAGGTGCCAGTAACTTTGGGAATTCCTGTGGAAAAACGAGCCAGCGTAGTTCTCGTGTCAAGACTTCCTGCTTGTTTACACCTCTCCACTGATTTTCTTCCCCCTCTCTTTCGGACGAAATCTAATCTGGTTATGCAGCATATATAAAAACTAAACGGAGGAACATCGAGGCAAACAACAAATTGAACATTGGCAGGAAACACAGTAACTGCACCAGCATGTCGCCATCCTCAAGTTGATGGACGACGAAAGGACGATTTCGACAAAGATCTCAAGTTGCAGGGCATGGAAGATTCTTCTTGCCCTTCTCGATACGGTCTACACTGTTCCCCTGACGTGTTCCAGGTCATGATCGTGCCATGCTACCAGTCGTAGGTAGGAGAACTGGACAAAGGGGATTGGAACACTGTCAGTAGATCCAAAATAAAGCTAATGGCCTTCGTCAAAGATCGCGCAGATAATGTCAAGTTTTGGATAAAGATTTGATGGCTTTTCTTCTTTTGAAACGTGTGATTGGATGGCTTGAAAAATGAGCTGCAAAGATCGATCCATACGTTCCGTCGTGTTGACGGTCACAAATTCATCGAGGCCTTGTTTAGATCGTAAGTTTTTCACTCTTTCTCCATCACATCAAATCTTTGGACACATACATGGAGTATTACTTTTAGATAAAAAAATAATTAATTACACAATTTTATTATAAATTACGAGACAAATCTTTTGAGCCTAGTTAGGCTATGATTGAATAATAATTGTCAAATACAAACGAAAGTGCTATAGTGCCAAATACTGATTCCTAATCCCAATCTAAACAAGGCCCAAGACAAAAGACTGGTTTTTTTCAAGTCCGTGAACTAGGATTGCATTAATGACCACAGGCTTTTTCGATCTGACATCTTAAGGGCAGTCCCAATGGTATATTGATGATGGTTTCTATCCTCGTTAAATAACTTGTCACGTAGGTAAAACGCTGACATGGCAACGTAATTAATGAAGAAAGAGAGCAAAAACCCTAGAAATGGTTTTCTAATAAAGAAATCAGGTCTTCTCTTGACCTAATGCACTAAGAAACCATGAAATCGCCATTAGAGAGAAACCACCAGTTTCTAGGGGGCTTGTGCCGCACTCCCGTTAGAGGAAGAAGATAAAGTTAGGAGAGAGAAAAAAAATTATTACTCATAGAAACCATGGGTTGGAAAGCAGTATTTTTTTTGATACGGTATCCTATGTTTTAGAAACTATTAGTTTTTTTTATTGGAACTGCCTTAAGGACGTCCCCAAATCGCTAGCATAGCCGAGGCTGTGTTTAGATGCCAAAAATTTTTACAAAATGCTACTTAACATTTTTTCGTTGTTATTTGGCAATTAGTGTCCAATCATAATCTAATTAGGCTTAAAAGATTCGTCTTGTAGATTTCGTCTAAACTATGTAATTAGTTTTATTTTTTATTTATATTTAATGTTTTATATATGCGTCTAAAGATTCGATGTGATGAAAAATCTTTAAAAATTTTGCAAAATTTTCTGAAACTAAACACTACCTGAATTTCTATGGGCTGGAAGGGACCGAGCTAGCGACGGGGGAATAGATAGTCTCGCACGGCTTTCGAAAACTTTTCTCTCACAGCTGCGCTCTGACGTTTCCTTTTTAAGGACTTGTTTAGTTGGTTGAATTTTTTGAGAAATAATACTGTAGCACTTTCGTTGTTATTTAATAATTAGTGTCTAATCATAGTCTAATTAGTTTTATTTTTTATTTATATTTAATGCTTCATGCATGCATCAAAGATTCGATGTGACGGAGAATCTTCAAAAATTTTACAAAATTTTAGGAACTAAACATGCACTTAATATTTTGGGAGTTCAAATCGCTAACGATTCATTCCTCGCCGTTGAGGACGCCCTAATGCTAAATTTCAGGAAGCTTGTAGAAAAAGGAGCCAGTGTCTTCTGTTATCAGACTAAAAACAGGACGTGTCTAGGTCCTGCTTGTATACTTCTGGGCTTCTCGCATGCACTGGCGGAGCCTCTCAGAGGCCAAACTGGTTGCGCCCCCCCTCTTCTACTCTCATGTCCTTGATTTGTTCACTAAGCTAGATTATATTATATAGAGAAACTACTAGTATTCTTTATACAAAGCTCAAAAGTAGATTGTTTTATAGATATATATTGCACAAATACAAAGCATTTGCATCAACAACTTGGAAAAAAATATACATTGGTTTTCCTTAACAATTTAGCCCCCCCCCCGCCAACTAATCCCCTGTTTGTTTGGGCTTGTTTGACTGATAAACCATGACTGAAAATACTATTAGCTGATTTTGTGTGAACGAAAAATACTATTAACCCAAACGAACTTGGGCATATCTTTTGGTAGTCCCGCGAGTTATCGGTGCGCTTGCAGAAGCAACAATGCCCTCGCCCGCCAAAAGCGGCTCAAGCAGCGTCTAAAGAATGCATTGCAGGAAACAGGTGCCCTGACGTTGTCGGCAAGGCAAGGAGGTAACCAACACTTGGTAAAAGCAAAAGCATGTGACAGTGAGAGAGAGAGAGTAGACGGGTGCAGAGGACCAGAGATACTGTGCCTGCGTTGAAAGAATAGTGGCCAAAATGATCGGCTACCTACGTGCACATTAGCTTTTAGGGGGTGTTCGCTTTAGTCGCTTCTAAAATTCACCTCACATTAAATATTTAGATACTAATAAAGAGCATTAAATATAGATTAATTATAAAACCAATTACATAGATAAAGGTTAATTTGCGAGACGATTTTTAAGCCTAATTAATCTATCATTAGCATATGTTTATTGTAGCACCACGTTGTCAAATCATGTGTAAGGAAAATAAACCCTAGGCCAATTTACTTTGG